CGGTCTTCAAGTTTCTTTCGTGACAGACAAGTTTTTGCGTTTAATTATTGTTGGGTCGAAGGAAGAGAAAGCGGAACATATGGAGAATGTGACTGTAGCTATTAATTATTGGGAGTTGCAGATGGAGAAGATAAACCATAAAAGGGGCTAAATTGAATTTGATAATGCTCATATACTATATATTAGAAGGACATGTTTGATTTGAAAAATAATAAAGGGATAGATTTGAGAAAAATGGATAATAGAGTGACAATTTATGCTATTAACTCCACATGCAAAGTCAAAGAGTATATTGGTAGAGTAGAATTTAAACTTTTATAATTTTTGGATTCTCTTAACTTTGTTACGTGCATTAGTATCTAACACTTAACAAACCCCACTTATTATTCAGACAAGCCTATACACTAAATCATAATAATTTATACAATAAACATTATTTTTTTGTATTCTTCCATATTTAAGATTTTGAGGCATAATCTTTTCTTTATTCTCTTTATTTTTTTATATACCTTCAATTACTACCAATTCTAGATGACATATATTTCCTTCCAAATCCAAATTTATATCCGATAATAAAAATCCACAAATTTCTTCTAAGATATAGGTGAAAAAAATACAAAAAAGTAAACTAGGACGTAAACTAGGACGACTTGATAAAAAAATACATATTAACTAATTATCACTAATGTTATAATCAACAAATACCATAAAGATTACTTTAAAATAATGAATTAGATATTTTAGGAAACCTTAAATTATTTTAAAACCTGAAAAATTGATCAACATAAAATAAAATTCATCCGACCAACGAGTCAGGTAAATATTTTAAATATAATTATAAATTAACCAATGTAAAAATAAAACAGAACTCATTCGGTTAAGGATCGAGTAAAAGCTAATTTGAAATAGAGCATTAGTTTTTCCCTTTCTACTATTATATAGACTAGCACCGGGCCCACCTCGTTGGGCGGGTAATCTACGCACAATCGTATTATTTGATAAAAATTGAAATATAAACTCAATTGATAATAGTTCATTGTTTTGATAACTTTTGCAATAAAATCGTGTTTGTATAAAATTTTAGCCCAAAAAAATGTGTTATTAATACCTATGAAAGTTTTATCTAAAAATTGTTGTAAGGAAGTGTTTATGGGAGAAGCTGAAATTAAACTATCCATGCGGATAAAGCAACTTAATGTTTATTATGAAGATGAATTAAAAGAATTGATTTGTAATTTTACAAACAATAATAATGTTATTATTATATGAGATGAACGTAAAAGAATGTGTTGAAAAAATGTTATATGAGATGAACGTAAAAAAAAGTAATAGGAAATAAATAATTGACCATCGATCCAATAGTCTGATCGATTTTCAGCCCACAAAAGAATGAGCGAATACTGGGCCACCAGATTGAATGACAGGGAAGTGGAACCAAAGCCGAAGCTTGTATCCGTCCTTCACCAACAATCGATCGACTTCCTTCTAGTTTCTAAACCTATCTCAGATTCTCAATAGTCCCACTTCATTTTTCCAGGGTTCTCCAGCGATTCCTTCTAAGCCTATCTCTTCATCCTCACCAATATGAGTAGTGATGGCAATGGGCCAGGCCGGGGCAGGTACCTCAATTCCCATGCCCTGCCCCACGCTACTACAGGGCGGGGCGGGTAAAACCCGCACGGGTACGCGGCGTGGCGGGTTGACCCACTCTTACATGTTATTCGAAAAAAATACAAGTAAATTTTACTTTTTACGATAAAACGAAGGATAAAACAATTTAAGAATGAAAAATAGTGATAATAGAATGGGTAATTGAGTCTAACACGTTGAAAGAGCGAATCTAACTAGTTGAAGAAAAGTCAAAATAGGATAAATATGTATAGAAATTGTAAGAAATTGAGATAAAATGAGTCTAGAACGGGGCGGGGCAGGGCGGATCGGAAGTAGATACCCATGCCCCGCCCCACGCTACTGCGGGTCGGGTAATACACACCCCATCACGGGTCAGGTCGGGTAATACCCGCGGGAGGAGTTAAAATTGCCATCACTAAATATGAGAATCCCTAGAACCATGTCCAGCCTGTTGGCTCGGGAGTTTGATTAAAACCTCATTTATTCAGGGTAAAGCAATAAAACTAAAACCTCAGCCTACTTACTCGACTGGACAAACGTGATATTGATAACATTGGTGTTTAGCTTGTTGGTTTAAAAGTGGGACATTTTCAGCTTTCCCTCCGTCCATATGTTAAAGCTCTACTTTCCCCTTTATGATTCGTCGAATCAAACCATATATTAAATTACCTCATCTAATTTTTCCCTTGATTCGTTTCTTGGCGTCTCTAGTTATTCATTGAGCGGGGAAGATTTTTTGTTCGATAGTGGCTTAGGGAGCAAAATTGCGAAACCAAGATCGACGTAGTGGAAAAATAAAAGCTTGCATGTGGGAGAAGGCTCAGCTTTAGGTTAACAATGGATAATTTGGCTTGGCAAGTATCGTTGTCCTAAGTTTTAAATATCAAAGTGGCCATTGAATTATGTTTTTCTCATGTCGGGCCTTAGAAGCCCATAGAAACCCAGCCTTGTTACATTTCTGTCGAAACACAAATGCAAAGCCAACCTTCTAAACTTTCTAACATAGCATAGACTAAAACATGTTCTGAATAGAGATTAATATGTTTCAGATGGTCATTAGAAGAGTAAGAGAAGAGGTTATCGGTTGTTGATTAGAGACAGAGAGAAGAGATGGTCGTTAGTATTGAAATGTAGGACAAACAGAAGGAAAAATATTTTTGTATGGTGTAATTTTTGGGATGAAGGTCTCAAATGGTGGAAGTAGGAGAAGCAAAAAAGAGGAATCACAATACATGTTCTTTGTGCCCTAAATAATCTTGTATCTTGTCTTGAAGTGTAACATATAAGGCTAAGTAACAAAGATGTGTACATAGATGATCGTACCATATACAAAAGCTAATCTTTTAATCTCTTCTCAATTAGTTCATAGTGTATCTACAGATAGATAATGACATGTGGAAAAAATGGGAGATCCCTTAAAGAAGACCATGCATAGTGTGTAAATCATTACGCTCGACCCCAATGGTGGGAGCATTGACAACATCTAGCTCTCGAGCTTCACCTTCAGTACTTAACTTATGCTACTATTAATAGATTGAGAGCAGTTCCTTTTGGATACATACAGTCATACAGTAGATTCCTGAGAATGCAGGGTAAAATCCTTCCATGGTTGAATCTTAAGATGACCAATAATATCAGGACCTTTTTCTATAAGTTATAAAGTTACCATCCAGCAAACTTCATGGCAAAGTGGCTGACAATCTGCATGTGGGAAAGTATGAGGAAATTTTAAAACAATGTGAAGCACGACACATGAGAATTCAATAAAGTAAAGAGAAACCTACGCTTTCGATGCTTACACACATAGGGAAAGAGGGGCTTTAAGACAAGAAGAAAAATGGAAATTGTGAATGAATATCAGAACATTTATAAACGACAGGTACATCAAGTGTGTGGAAAAAACTATTGATTTGCTTACTGAACATACCATTTTGATCCTAATCCAAACCCTAAATTGCCAGTGGAAAACAGTTGCAGTAAGATACAAAGTAGCTTCACAATGAGCAAAAACCAGTAACAGTAGATGTAAAGGTACATGTTACCACTCCGATATTCATTTCACCCAGGAGACGGACTGAAGCTTTACAGTGAGAGGCAAAAACAAACACAACGTAAGTCGTCTGGACTCTACAACAACATTAATTGAATTGGCAGCCAAGGAAAACACCGCAAGTCTGAGGGTGTTGCAGATGAGGCCAAACAGTTCAGTTCCCGACTAAGAGCTGAATCAACAACTGGACGGGGAATACCCATTGCACCCTATCTACAGAATGAGAAGAAATGGCAATGCTTTTTAACAATATCAACTGTTTTAATAGAGGCGACCATATGACTGTACTGTAAGAAACAAATGAGCTCCCATATGTAATCCCACAATCAATGGGCCAGCAAATTTGATAAGCACAATTGAAGATTACAACCAGGGAAGCATGCAGCAATATCAAAACCAAATTACCTACCAACTCTGAGATGCAATTTTGAGGGTTAGAATGAGTTTTAAATGGATTATACCTGAAGTTGACTTGCAATTCAATATACGGATTGGATTTGGCATCTGTAGATGAGGGGCAGAGGGAACATGTCTCATCTACACTCGACAATAACCGATAATAGCTCTACCCTTTCATTGTGGGAATAAATGCGATGGCTGAAGGAGAGACTTCCAACTATCGATTGAGAACCAAAATGGATGGAATGCAAAGCCAATAAAGAAGAGGCCCCTCCTCGAATTGTAAGGTTAACAGCCCTAAACATCGTAATCGCAGAAACGTTGGGCCAATTTCACTCCGAAATCCCACATGGTCAAGAGATTGGGGATATTTAAGCCCGGACGAGAAAGGGAATTGCAACCCAGCTTGAAAACCTCAACATAAGAAACAACATTAGGAAATCGTAGATGACCGGTGCATAGGAAAAGCGTATCACAGGTCAGGGAAGAAAGGACTTGAATTTCATTATGTGGAGAAAGCAGATGAATTAATGGGAAGAAGATTACCTGGACAGGAAAGCGGTCGTCGTTGCCGCACGGAACCGCTGTTCAGATCGACTTCGTCGCTGCTGCAGGAAGGAGAAAGGGAAGAGAGGGCTTGATTTCATTCTGTGGAGAAAGCAGATCAATTAATGGTAAGAAGCTTACCTGGACAGGAAAGCTGTCGTCGTTGCCGCACGAAACCGCTCTTCGGATCCACATCGCCGACACTGCGGGAAGTAGAAAGGAAGACCTAGGGAAATATGGGAACGAAGGAGTAGTAGGGGTGAAAAACTGAAAATGGGTCAACTGAATTTGGGAGCTGCGCATAATCTGTCCCGTTAGGGTCTCCGGCCGCGAAAAGTAAGTGGAGCAATTACCTAATTACCCTCCTCGGAAATGAAGGAGAGAGGAGAGAATTTGAATCCAAGCTTGTAAAACCTAACGAAGCCGCTGTTTTTTCTTCTCCGCTCACTCCCTTAAATCGCAGAGGAAAAGGCTGTGTAGCCGTCTGTGATAGATTCCGCCACCGATCACCGCCGGTACAAAGGTCAGTTATTCTCTTGAAAAAGCTCTCGTCTTTCAAGTTAGATTTGTCTCTGTAGACTGTAGGTTCTGACCCCCTTTCCATGCTTCATATATTTTATATCGGCTGCGATTGAATTTGAACGCGCTAAACCCTGTATGTTTTCTCGTCTCGTCGAGCAAAATATTACGTTTGGATGTGTTCATGGTGAAAGTATAAGGTTACCGGTTGTGGGAGATTTTATTATTTGCTTGCAATCTGGTTGTTCTGAATTATCTTGTTGATCGGTGTTCTTATGAACAAGCTACTATACTAAGGCTAGGGTGCAGTTTTGGTGTCATAATTCTCTGGTCGTTTCAATGAAATCAATATATGTCTGTTCGATTCCATGTTGGTTGAAATCCATTCTGCTTGTTGCAGATACATGGCTCAATACGATTTCAAGAAGATCACTGTCGTCCCAACTGGGAACGACTTGATCGACATTGTTCTCTCTCGCACTCAGCGCCAGACCCCTACGGTGATCCACAAGGGGAATGCAATTTCCCGCGTCCGCCAGTTCTACATGCGAAAGGTGAAGTTCACCGAAACCAACTTCACTGATAAGCTCTCCAAAACCATTGAGGATTTCCCTCGAGTAGAAGATATCCATCCCTTTTACGGCGACCTCCTTCACGTCCTCTACAACAAGGATCACTACAAACTCGCACTTGGGCAGCTCAACACAGCAAGAAATCTCATCAAGAGGATACGTGAAGACTATGTGAAGCTCTTGAAATATGGCGACTCGCTCTACCGGTGCAAGTCATTGAAGCGTGCAGCACTTGGCCGAATGTGTACTGTGACCAAGCGCATTGGGCCGAGCTTGGCCTACCTCGAACATGTCAGGCAGCACATGGCGAGGCTTCCCTCGATCAACACGGGCGCTCCAACGATCTTGATTTGTGGATGCCCCAATGTTGGGAAGAGCTCTTTCTTGAACAAGATCACCAGGGCTGATGTGGAGGTCCAACCATATGCTTTCACCACGAAATCGCTCTTTGTGGGGCATACGGACTACAAGTACCTGAGGTATCAGGTGATCGATACACCGGGGCTCTTGGACAGGCCTCTTGAGGATAGGAACATCATCGAGATGTGCAGCGTTACAGCTCTTGTGAATCTCCATGCTGCTATCTTGTTCTTCTTGGACCTATCGGGCTCGTGTGGCTACAGCATCTCTCAACAAGCAGCATTATTCCACAGCATCAAGATGATGTTCCGGAACAACCCTGTGCTCATTGTCTGCAACAAAACAGATTTGCAGACCTTGGAAGGACTGAGTGGAGAAGACCTGAAGCTTGTCATGGAGATGAAATCCGCAGCACTGAAGACTATCCCTGGTCAAGGAGGTGAAGCTGCTAATAACCAGGATGTGCTCCTGACCATGAGCACGATAACCGACGAAGGCGTGATGGCAGTAAAGAATGCAGCTTGCCAGAGGCTGCTGGATCAGCGATCGGAGCGTAAGATGAAATCCAAGAAGATGCCTACCGTGTTGAATCGCTTCCATGTAGCAATGCCAAAGCCGCGTGACCAAAAGGAGAGGCCAGTCTGCATACCCCAAGCAGTTTTGGAAGCCAGAGCAGAAGAGGCAGCACACGAGGAGAGAAAAACCGAGAAGGATATCGAAAATGAGAATGGTGGTGCTGGTGTGTACTCTGCCAGCTTGAGGAAGCACTACATTCTAGCGGATGACGATTGGAAGCTGGACATATTGCCCGAGTTCCTTGATGGCCATAATGTGTATGATTTCATTGATCCGGATATCTTGCAGAGGGTTGAGGAGCTGGAACGTGAAGAAACAGCAGTAGAGGAAGATGGTGGTGACTTTGAGATGGAGGATGAAGATTTTACTGCCGAGGCTGAAAAAGACCTGCAAGAAATCAGGAAGAGGAAGAAGTTGTTGATCCAAAAGCATAGGATCAAGAAGAGCACTGCAGAAAGTCGGCCAACTGTGCCTAGGAAATTTGACAAGGACAGGAAGTTCACTACTGAGAGAATGGGAAGGCAGCTGTCAAGCTTGGGGATCAATCCTTCTCGTGCTATCGAACGTGCTAGGAGCAGGTCTGTCTCCAGGAAAGGAAGGAAGAGAGAGAGGTCTGTTGGTGGGGATGGTGAGGATGAAATGGAGATCGATGGTGGTTTGGATAACAAGAAGAAGCTGAGGCTGAGATCAAGGTCAAGATCAGTGTTGTCTCAGCGGCCTCTTGGGGAGGTTGTACCTGGAGAAGGGTTCAAGGACTCTGCTCAGAAGATGAAAGCTGTTACAATGGCCAGGAATGCTACCAAGAAGAGGAACAAGGATGCTCGGCGTGGTGAGGCAGATAGAGTTATCCCGACGCTTAGACCAAAGCACCTGTTCTCTGGGAAGCGCTCCATCGGGAAAACAGATCGAAGATAATAGGCATTTAGAGGTTTGCAGGCTGCACATTCTAGTTCCTACAATGTTTTCTTCTTCTATCTGGTTAGCTTTTATGCTGCTGTTTTCTCTTGACCGATGATATATGTGCATGGCTTTTCTAATCTTGCAGGAAGGGTATAGATTCGGCTTGCTGTTTGAGTTTGACTATCATTTTGCTGTTGATTCTGGCCTGGCGTTATTAGGTGGTATAGAGGTGCTTATTCATTTTGTGTTCTCTTTTCTGCTGAGAAATTGTTCTGGGAGTGAGGCTCTATCTATTTAGATTAGACATGGTCCTGTTGGTATTACGTTAAAACTTTATGGGGAGCAGGGGAGATTTTGGGTAAACTATGTTCTCTGAATTAAAGAATTGTTCGTGGGTTATGTTATGAAGTCGTTCTTCTGTTTCCCCTGGGATGGAAAGGTTACGGCATTTCCCTTGAATCGAGTTGGCTTTTTTGCTCACCTAGGGAGTCCACTGTGTTCTGGACATCAAGGCCTCCTCTTTACCTATGTGATCTGTTGTTGAAAATCACACCAATTTACACAGACCTAGATGCAACTGTCTGCTTTGTTTGATGGTATCGAACAAATCACTATGTCAACTTGCTTCACTGCCTCCACTATAATATTCTCATCCTGCAATGAACCCTGGGAAAATAGAAGAAGAAATCCACATTTGGAATGCAAAATCCAATGAAGCTAATAATGAGCGCGGGAGAATTGCAGAAAGATGCTACCTTTATTGCAGTGGCATGATTATCTTTTGTAATGTTATCTTCCGTGAATCAATATATGATTATCATTTGTAAATAAAAAAAAAAAAAAAAAATTGTAGTGGCATGGTCATTGATAGTTTTTTTTTTTGTCAAAAGATAATATATATTACTCCAATCAAAAAGATAATTACATCCTGGAAAGCAGCCAGGCTCTAAAATCAAACAAGCGATTCCCATTCGGGTACAAAGAGAGGGCTTTTCTAGCTACCGAATGAGCTACCCTATTGTTATCCCGACCTACAAACCGCACACTAAACCCCGGATGGGCAGCAAAATATTGGCAAATTTCTTCCAGGACTGCCCCCAAGTGATTGTCACGCGAATCGACTTGATTAATCTTGTCAATAATGACCTTCGCATCCCCCTCGAACCGAACATCGGACAAACCCCACTCTAAACACCAAGTAATAGCCTCACGCAGCACTAGCAGCTCCACCACCATCGGGTCATCCATACGTGCAAATTGCACACCTTTAGCCCGAATGACCGTCCTTCCCGGACCACAAAGGACCATCCCACCAGCCGAGTGTGACCCCCTCCTAGTTGCCCCGTCCCACATGCAAATCAACCGAGAGTCATCCACTCGGGACTGGACCACTTGGAAAGACATCATTGGCTGCTGGTCAACCGGCAGACCCACCCACTCCTCATATTGCTGGTGAAATTGGCGCATTAAAGCCGGAATCCCAAACTGTTTGCCCTCAAAGACAACCCAGTTTCGCGATCGCCAGATCCGCCAGAGGATGGCAACCACCGCCATAAACAGCGACGGATCATGGACAAGGGAAAGCATTCGCTTTAGAAACAGAGGAAACGTGTGCCGAGGCAAAGCCTCCCCTAAATAATCCAACCCCGAGTAGTCCCAGAGGGCCCGTGCCACCGGGCAGTAGAGAAACAAGTGCTCCAACGTCTCGGGCCCCTCCTAGCAAACCGGGCACCGGGGCAGCACAGGGACCTCCTTTTCAATGAGCGCCTCTGTGGTTGGCAGGGCCCGATTCAAAATTTGCCAGACAAAGACTTTAAGCTTTGGAGGGATCTTAGCTTCCCACAACCGGATCCAGCTTTTCCTATCCATCCAGCTCACCGATTCCCGCCACCCACCCCTCCTCCTGTCAAGCTCAACTGCCAGATGGTAAGCCGTCTTAACCGAGAACACCCCATCAGCAGTGTTATGCCAGATAAGTTTATCATCCACATTCCGCCTCGGAAGTGGGATAGCCTTAATGGCCCCACAGACAGAAGGGCCAAACCATTGACTCAGCTTATTCTCATCCCAACGCCGTTCCCCTTGACAAATAACCTCCGCCACCACGGGATCACCCCCACTTGGCAGGATGCGGCGATTATAGCAAGGGGCATCCAGCTGAAGCCTAGGAATCCATTTAGAATGAACAAGGGAGGCCGAGAGGCCATTGCCTATCTGCCATCTTAACCCTGCGTCCAAAAGCTGACGCCCAAACAGGATACTCTGCCAACCCCAAGAAGGCCTAGACCGGGCAGTAGCAGTCAAAAAAGATCCTTGAGGAAAGTACTTCCCTTTATAAACCTGGGCCAGGAGGGAGTTCGGCTCATGGAGAATACGCCAGCCAATCTTTGCTAAAAGAGCCTGGTTAAAATGTTCAAACCTGCGAAAACCTAAACCCCCGTCATGCTTGCTTCGGCAAAGGTTCCGCCAGGACACCCACCGAATCTTGGGGTGACCATCCTCAACTCCCCACCAGAAACGGGCCACATGTTTATCCAACAAACGAAAAAGGGAGAGGGGCAACCGGAAACATGACATAACATACAGGGGCAAGGCCAAAGCAACTGATTTAATCAACGTCTCCTTGGCCGCCCAGGATAAGGTTTTCCGTTTCCACCCCTGCAGACGCGCCAGTAATTTCTCCTCCAGATACCTGAATGTCGCCATTTTGGATCGGGCAATCAACGTGGGTAACCCCAAGTACTTATCATGAACCCCCACTGCACCGACCCCAAGAATCGTAGCCAAAAACTCCTAATCAGCCAAGGCAACATTTTTGCTAAAACAGACTGCCGACTTTTCCAGGTTAACCCGCTGCCCACTCAACTCCTCATATTCATTGAGCACCACAATTAAGTTCTCACACTCCTGAAGGGAACCTCGCAAGAATATATAGGAATCATCCGCGAAGAACAGATGCGAGATCCTAGGAGCACGCGGCGCCACCTTCACCCCCTCTAACTTCTTTTCCGAGATCGCCTTCCGAAGAAGAGCCGCAAACCCCTCTGTACAAAGCACAAACAGGAGAGACGACAATGGATCTCCCTGCCTGAGTCCCCGAGAGGAGCCGAAAAAACCTGAAGGCGTACCATTCATCAAAACCGAAAAAGTAGCAGATCTAAGACATTCATGAACCCATCCTTGCCAGCTAGAGTTAAAGCCCATCTTATCCAAAACTGCCAGAAGGAAGGGCCATTCGACTCTATCATAGGCCTTTTCCATGTCAACCTTTAGAGCCATGTACCCCTTCTTCCCCTGCTTTTTTATTTTGAGATAATGCATTAATTCATGCCCAAGAAGGACATTATCAATAATCTGCCGATCTTTTATAAACGCATTTTGCCCCTCATAAACAATTTGAGGGAGCAATCCCGCTAGCCGCTCCGCCATAATCTTGGTTATAACTTTATAAACGAATTGACAGAGACTGATTGGACGCAGCTGGCGGACATTTTCCACAGAATCCACTTTAGGGATCAATGTAAGCCAAGTATGGTTAAAACTCCGTAGCATTCGACTAGTCGAAAAGAAAGAGCAAACCGCCTCAATCACCAAGGCCCCCACAACATCCCAGAATGCTTTGAAGAATTTACCGGTGAAGCCATCAGACCCCGGAGCCTGCTTCGATCCCATCGAAAAGACCGTTCGCCGAACCTCCTCCGGCAAAACCACCGTCGTTAACATCTCATTCATCTGCGGAGTAACCGTTTGGGAAATGGGGAGGCTCGCCACCCTATCAGCCATATTTAGCACCTGGGATTCCGAGGTAAAAAGAGTTTGGTAAAAGCTGGTAGCAATCCTAGCCTTCCCGCTCTCCTCCGTAATCCATTCACCCTCATCATCCCTGAGCCCAGCGACAAAATTCCTTTTCCGACGAGCGCGTGTAACCGTGTGGAAATACGCTGAGTTTTGGTCGCCCCTCTTTAGCCATCGGACCCTTGATTTTTGCTGCCAGTATAACTCCTCCGCATCCCATTGACGAGATAGCTCCATTTCCAGGGATCGTACCGCATCCCAATCCACCGGATGGATGGACTTGACTCGGTCAACCTCAGCCTGGAGGGTCTTAATATTCCGTAGGGAGTTAGTGGTGCCCGCCCTACTCCAATCATACAGCAGATGTCGGAGTTTCTTTAGGCGCTCCCAAAGATGAAACATGGGGGTACCTTGCACCTCCTCCTGCCAGACGTACTGGACCATAGCCCTAACCTCCGGGTTCTCCGCCCACCGAGCATCAAACCGTAAAAGAGGTCGACTATTCCGAGTGTAAGGTTTATCGGCGAGAAGGAGGGCACGATGATCGGATCCCTGATCAGTAAAATGTTTGACCAATGTCTCCGGAAACATATCTATCCATGCTTGGGAGCAAAGGGCCCTATCCAACCGCTCACGAATGCACGCCTCCCCCATTCTCTTATTGGTCCAGGTAAACTGATCCCCTTGGTACCCTGGTCATGGAGTCCCAACTCATGGACAAACTCCCGCAGGTTGTTGGCTTGAGCCACATTCCAAGCCCGACCCCCCATCTTTTTCCCCTTCATGGAGGGTGACGTTGAAATCACCAATGATCACAAATGGTTGGTGAACACTCCCACACACTTCACGCAAATGAGCCAACTGGCTATCTCGAACAGCAACATTACAGCTAATGTAAACAAAAAACACCAAATACGAAAAATCACATTCATTAATTTGCGAACAAATATAAAAATTGGAAGAACAAAACACCGAAGTGTTAACCCCGGGGGCCCAAGCTACAACTAACCCACCCGATGCATCGACTGCATCCACAAAAAAACAATGAGAATTCTCAAAACCTATACCCCGCATACGGCGGGCAACTACACGCCGGCTCGACCGTGTTTCAGAGAAAAACACCAAATCCAGCTTATTAGAATGAACAAGCCCTAAAGCAGAATGGAAGGTGAGGGATGGCCCAATTCCTCTCACATTCCAGGCCAGAAGCCTCATTTATCCACTGGGGGCCACTCGAGGCTGGCTTCCTCCACCTTTCCCTGGGCATCCACAGATTCCACAAATTGTCTCTTCGGAGTCGGAGGGTCCCCCACAGCCCCCTCCACCTCCTCGATCACTCGCTTCCGATTCTCCATGATTGGATCCTCTAGATTAGACCCATACTCATTCAGGCCCAAGCTCGCCGCCTTCCACGAGGGATTCTCCACTTGGCCAATGCTAAGCCCAGCCTCAAATGCTTCCACCACTTGGTGAACGTGGCCTTTCATAACATGAGCGGTCTTCCTGGAGGCACCAGTGGGTGACCTGCGTTTGATTTCAAAAGAGTGGGCTTCCTCCAGCGATTGATCCTCATCAGATTCATCTACCTGCTGGTGTGTCACCTCTTTGGGGTTATCAAAACCATCCCCAGCCTCCTTATCCTCCAGATCACGTACTGCATCCGCTGGAGTATCCTCTTCAACCTGAGCAGACATCGTCTATGGGGAGCTAGCTCCCCCTTTCCTCAACCGCAGACGACCCCGAGATGCCATGCCCCCTGTCTTGACCACAGTCTTAAGGGTAGCCTTCTTCAAAATAGGCTCAGGGATCATGTTCTCCTCCTCTTCAGATTCATCCTGCAGAATCAACCTGTGCCTTCGAGATTGCTCAATAACTATCTCCACCGGATCAGTCTCCATCTGTGGGAGGGGGGCCTGCTTCATACGCCTACTAGGCTGCTGGTGGCCTTTAGCTGCCTGATTACCAGGATTGGTAATCCTCTTGGGTGACCGCTTCTTCTGAGCTTGCCTCACCCCGCCCCCAACCTTCAC